TATTGTTGCTGTTGCTATCGTTGTTTGTATTGTTGTTGTCGTCGTCATCATTGTTATTAAAAGTATTATTATTATTATTATTATTATTATTATTATTATTATTATTATCGATGACGTTAAAATTATTAGCAACAATGTTGACGTTGTTAATTAATCTATGCGTAGGGAGAGTTGTTTTAATTTGTTGTTGGTTGTTCAATGTAGGTTTTTGCATTTCTATTAGAATGGCTTCAGCGAGTTTAAGATTTTGATATTGTTGGGTACTATAGATGATGGTTGTGTTGTCATTTAGTATACCTCTGGTGATTGTTGTGTTGTGTTTGTCAAGGAGATGGGTTTTAATGGCACCTTCTCTCTTATGCATCGTCAATCTCCGTGATAAATCCGTGGTAGTCATGCCGATATATGATGATTTTAGACGCATACAATCGTCAACTGGACAGGAAAATTTATATATGACATGACTACGTTTCAGTTGTGATTCAACACGTGGTGTGCAATTATTTATTAAGATGAGGTTTGATGTTTTAGTGTTTTTATAAAAAATCCTTAGTTTGATTTTATCATTAGGATCTGTAGGAATTATATTGTTTTTTATTATATTCTTCATTATCAATTCATCGATTTTATAAGAGGAAGACATGAAATTACGGTAGTACAGTATAATATCCTTCTTTTTGTTGTTATTATTGTCATTATTAGTGTTGTTGTTATGGGTGTCGACATTGTTAGTGACATATGACAGTGTCGACATCCAATTTAAAAAGTTGTTCTTCGAATTTACTATCAAAATTTAAAAGCTACTCATGAAAAACCCTTTCTGCTCAACTACAACAAAGTCATCTAATATATGAATAGAAATGCTCCGTCGGTGAATGTTTACATCGCAACAATGGAGAAGTTAAACAACATTATCAACAACAACATAACATCACTTTAACACGACAAATAGTTTATTGCAATAACAACATCAGTTACCTGATAATAGCTGAATCAATATTCATAAAAAATCCCTCCATGAACATTCAAGTACAGTCAAACAACATTCTACCTTCAAATAGACTACTAAATAAAAACAACAATCATCATAATTATAACAACTTGTCCTGGGCATGATATAAAACTGCATCCACGCTGCCTTTCGTGCTTTTGAGCAAAAGTCTAGGCCCACCGCTTATAACTCTGAAGCTAACGCAAAAGAGAGAGAGTAACCTTTAACCTTTAACTGGTGGTTGTCGTCAGGATGGGTGTCTGGATGTAAAAACTCTCCAAATTATTCCAATGCCATTGCAAAGAAAAACAACGGCCCCTAATCCCAAGCAGGCCTCAAGTGGTCAAAAGGTGCAAAAAATCCCTGCGAAGTATGCAAGAGCGGAGGATGTTGTAGAAAAATTCAGAATGCCCCATCTGGTACCTAGAAATGGAACGCTCAACGATGGATCACAGAGTGGCCACAGCATGGAAATTGCGGAAATGCTCGAGCGTAGAATGATTGACATCGGCTGCCTTCAGAAAACCCGATAGAAATCGAATGGTGTCTGTCATGTCAAATCAGTATAAACTATATCAACTCAGTATGTTTGTATAAACTATTCTGGAATGGTCATAAGACGGCCAAAAATGGTGTTGGAATTTTTGTTAAAAAACCGCTAGCCCAAGAAGTACTGGATATTAAATTAATAATTCACATCTCATGTGGACCAAACATGCAAACAATGACTATTTTTTCTGACAGACAGGCAAATCAAAAGAGATGAAAAATGACTTCTAGGCTGCGTTCTCTGACACCATCTCAACAATACCAAAATCTGAAACAATCCTGATTGGAGGCGATCTCAATGGCCAAGTTGGAGAAAAAACAGATGGTTTTGACAACGTACATGGCAGTTTTGGAGTACGGAATGAAGATGGCAACCCCATCCCTGAAATAGAAAAAGGTTGGAACATCTCATAACATACAAAAGCGGACCATCAGCCACGCAAATTGATTTTTTCTGTCAAGCAACAGAAACTGTCAAAACATAAGTCTAAACGAATGCCTCGGAGAATCAAAACGTGGAAGCTGAAAAGCAATATTTATCGAGAAAAATTTGAACAGATTGTCGCCACCAATCGCAATCCAGTACAGATTGGAGTACATACAAAACCGTTTTGATAAACGCTACAACTACAGTTTGTAGGGAAAACTGGTACAAAACTTCAGCATGAACGGGACACTTGGTGGTGGAATGACAGTGAACAAAATGCAAAAGCTGAAAAGAAACCTGCATACAAGCAATGGCAAAAAGCAAAGTCTGTTGATGACCATAAAATTTTACGTGAGAAGAACAACTATGCAAGATGTCAAGACGCACTGGCTCGGCGAAGCAAAGCGTACGAAAAAAGACATAGTTGGTGCTTCATGTATCAAAAACGACAAAAATGAGATGCTTCTTGAACAAGATGAGATCAAGCTACAGTTCTCTTCGCCCTGACAACTTACAGTGGAGAGAATACTTCAATCGTCTGTTAAATGAAACGAATCCCATCAATGTCAACTTTGACGCTCCACCCATCGAAGGTCCGAATCCAGACATCACTGTAGAGGAGCTTACAGAAGCTCTGAAAGCTATGAAGGATGGAAAGACAGCAGGGCTCTCTGGACTCACAAATGACATAATCAAAGCATCTGGTACTGCTGGTATCCAAACGTTACTACAACTTTGCTGTGGAGAAATTGCTCAATGCCAACTGAATGGAACAATAGCATGACCGTTCCGCTATACAAAAGCAAAGGTGATCCATTGAATTGTTCATCCTATCGGGTTATACGTCTGTTAGAACACACCCTAAAAATTGTCGAGAAAATCATTGAGAGAAGATCGTGCATCATAATCGGAAATTATTAATCATCAACAATTGATGCAATTCACATCCATCGGCAACTGCAAGAGAAGTAGCTAGCAAAGCATCAACAACTATCACACTATTTTGTAGACCTTGAAAAAGCATTGGGTCGAGTTCCCCGTGAAGCAGTCAGGTGGAGTCTACGTCGACAACTCATTCAAGAATATCTTGTTCGACTTGTGATGGAAATGTATAAGAATACTAAGACTCTCGTCAGCACAACGGTTGGAAACACAGATGCATTTGACATCAGCGTGGGAGTTCACCAAGGCTCGATTCTCAGTCCACTGTTATTTATAACTGTGATGGAAGAAATCAGAAAACCGATACGCACTGGTGACATTTGGAATCTAATATATGCTGATGATATCGTTTTAACAGCCACGTCTGAGCAGAATGCAGCACAGATGTTTGAAGATTGGAACACCAGACTCGCCGATCATGGATTCAAAGTCAACTTCAGCAAAACCAAAGCAATGAACACTGGTCAACCCATCAAATAAACAGTTACTGGACGATGACCCTGTTCAGTATGTAAAGCTGGTGTAATTGTTTGTCCTGCTTGCATCAATCCACAGCAACAACAAATTCGAAATAGCAATGTTTTTGAAGCCATTAAGGTAGAGAAGGTCACATCGTTTCAATATCTAGGGGATGTTCTAGATTGTACTGAAACAGCTGAAGCTGCCGTTCGAGCACGCATAAGTGCAGCCTGGAATAAATGGCATCTCTTTGCCTCTATATTGATGCGGCGTGAAATGGATACAACTGGTCGTCTAATTTGGCACCTATGATCAGTTTTTACCACGACTGATGATGTACAAATCCCTAACGTGGAGATTGGCCAATCTTTTACAAATCTAGGCAAGTTAAACGATTATGAATGCAAAAACTTCAAAGTAAAAGGCGAGTTAAAGTCAAAAGTCATTCAGCTGTTAAAAGGGATTTCAAAGTTAAATATGAGCCCACAGCAAAAACTACAAATTCTAAAATTTGTTCCCTCACAGCTAAATTTTGAACTCTGCAGCTACAGCTTCTCGTTGACATGGATAGCAGAAAACCTGGATAATCTAATTGCTAAAGGTGTATGAAATTGTAAAAGCTGTATGCTAGAGATGCCAATTAGCGGCTGTGTAGCGGAATTTACTTTGCTGCCAGCAAACATTGGAGGCCATTATATTATGTCGCAAAAAGAAGCCACAGAAAGAGCGAGATTAAAGCTGTGCAACCATTTCAAAACTAGTCAGAACAAAAAATCGACAATATCAAGATCGACAACACACCCTCAAAATCAGGTTCCCTAAAATTATCGTTCAAACAATTAGAAAAAGAAAGAATTTAATCGTGTTTCAACCATGTCATTTCGCTGGAAAGTCAGGGCACAATTATCTCCAAAATAAAAGCCGTCGTCAAAGCTAACAACATCTCTCGTTGGTCAAAAACTACGGAGACTCTTCAAATTTGCTAGGAAATATCTAGTGCAGAAACCGCCAACAAACGCTAATTTGTTTAGATGGGGCAAAACACCAAGCCCTCTATTTCTGTGGCTCTCGGCAGACAAATAAGCATGTGGTTTCTAACTGTAGTTTCACCTCTGCTCTAGCAAGATAAACAACAAAATTTTGGCCGCGATCACCACACGGTTGAAAGTATGTGCGCCCGCAAATTGTCGATTATTTGCAGATTTGAAATTTGACGGTGCTCAGCCTACATCGGATCTGTTCAACACCCTACGTCCCGACATAGCTATACTGCAAGGCGACACAATCAAGATTTTGGAGTTAACGGTGTGTCATGAAAGCAACCTAGAATCATCCAGACAACATAAGATAAATAAATATTCCGATAATTTGCATAGTTATTTAAATGACAAGTACAAACACTGCTCAATAATTACAAATACTTTTGAAATATCTCCAGTTGGTTTCTATAAAACCTTTATTCTTTCATTGTTTAAAATTATGTGGCCGGTTTCTTTTAATGATGAGTTGATAGAGACTGTTATAAGGTACGGTATGACATGGACTGTTATGATACGGCGTTTATTGCGACAGAAACAATTTATGACATAAATTTGTATATATTTCACCGCTCTGTACTTTTATTATAAATTGAGCATAGTTGGTCTTATATTGACATTTCGCTATTTTACCATTTCATAGTTTTAATTAACCTTGGCTTTGAATAAAAGAATTGTTGTTATTGTTGTTAATCTAATTACCGTTGCAGTTATTGTTATTTTTGTAAATATTATTATCGTTGTTGTTTTTATTATTGTTGTTGTTATTATTGTTTTTGCCTTTATGATTATTGTTGATAATGGTGACAATATTGTTATTATTGTTGTTGTTTTGGTTCATACGATGTAACTTTTTATTGACAACATTTTTAATTAGATATACGCTGTAATTATAATTTATAAAAAGGTTTGGTACTAAGGTACTAATAAAGGAAGATGTGAATGTTGAATTGAGAACGGTAAGATCATTCATCATTCGCGCCTTCACACACTCCTCAACCCTAGACGACGTTTCATCAAAAATCAAACGTGTCACAACAAACAACAACACACGTTTAGACGAAATTTTCCCCGAGATCGGGGGTTGCCGTTTGGCTACCTAAGATGAAACCGACCTAACCCTAACCCCACCAAGTTCCCTAAATTTCATCCATCTCATACGAACTTTAGCCGGAACCAGGCTCAAACATCCTCCATCCACGTTCAGCTTAACCCTTAAGCCCACTCTTTCAATACCACCACTCAACCCCGTCCTTGAGTCCGTCCTATTAATCACACCATGAACACATTTCTTACATTTGAACGTACCTTCCACCTTTTTCAGTGCGCCCCTCACGCCACTACATCTCATGCACATTCTGACATCCTATACACAATACCGAGCTAGCCTTCACTCTCCTGTCACATACCCCACAGGGGTCTATTTTACTTATCACTCGCTCCCCACCTTCCCCACTCACCATTACCTTCGTCTTACCAATATTAACTTTTAACCTTTTCTTTTCAATAACACTTTTCCATCTGTCAAATTTGAACTGCAATTCATCCATACTATCAGCCAACAAGACTAAATCATCTGCATACAAAATCTCAAATAACAACCACTCCATTATGTTTCCACACACAATATCCATTACTATTGCAAACAAAAACGGTGATAACACTGATCCTTGATGCACTCCTACCTTAACACTAAAATCGTTCGACATCCCGTCCCTTTCGACGTCCCTTCCGACGTCCCTTCCGACCCTCATCTTTGTTTTCGCCTCTTCATACAGCTGCATCACAGCTTTAACAAATCAAACGTGTCACAAATAACGATAATGCCATTAACGCAAACAACATCAATATCACCATTATACTATATTATCGAAATTTCATGTCATTGTCCTACAAAACTGATGAAAAGGTTATGAAGAAGAAATAATATTAAACCAACAAACCAGAAGAACGATAGAATAAAATTAAGAACCATTTACAAAAAGGATAAAAGGTTAAAAGTTTCTCTCTCTCTTTTGCGTTTGCAAACCACGCATCATACACATTGCATATGATAGGCGGGGATCTTTTTGTATTCGAACCCAGTCAGACCAGGCGCTTTTAACCATTGAGCCATCACGCCGCCCATTGAGCCATCACGCCAAAAACTACAAAACATCTAACCTTTAAATTGCCTACCTCACAGCACTTCCATTTTGCAACGTAGTCATCTCATATATAAATTTTCTTGTCCTCTTGACGACTGTGCACGTCTTCAAACTTCTTCAAACTTCCTATTTAGGAATGACTACTAAAACACTATCGCGTACACTCACTATGCACAAAAGAGACGGTGCAATAAAAAACCATCTTGAAACTTTCCACAACATCCCAATAACTAGGAACCTTCTAGATAACAACACCACAATTTTATACGAAAATCAACAGCACTACAACCTAAGAATCGCAGAAACCATTTTCATCAAATCTGAAATGCCTTCCATCAACATCCAACAACGAATCACAACAACACTCGAAGAATGAACAATAACGTTAATCGGATCAACCAGCAATCTAACAATGATGATAATAACAATAATGGTAATAACAACTACACCATCAACAACAACAGCAACAACAACAGCAACAGCGCCATCACCATTTGAGCATCTGGTCACAAACACAACATATCAATTTGAACACCGAAGGTGGTATGGAAACACCGAAAAAAGCTTTTTTGTTCTACATGCATAAAATAAACTAAATTTTGGTTTTGAACTAAGGAAACTTGAAAATGATTAACGATACACCGTTAGAAAAATCGAAAAGTTAAATTGGAAGTTAACTAATGCCACACATACTGTGATTTTCATAAATAGATATATATATATATATAAAATTCGCTTATATATTTATTTAGTATTCACACTAACATGCAAATATTTCCAGTCATAGCAATATGAGGACATCGATGGGGTTTATTCATTACCGCCACAACAGCTATCTAGAATAAATAAACGTACATATATTTTACAATAAATAATAATCATCAATTAAATTAACTGTATACAAATCAGTTGTATGATTATACAAATCATTTATAAGTATACAAATCATACAACTGTAGCGATAGTCTCATTTTCCAGGTTTATTTTAATTTTGATGGATTTTACGAAAAAATAAAAAATGCTAGCACTCCCTTGGCCTTTTCAAATGACAAATTTCACGATAGATATATGGTTTTAATATTGATTTACATTCAAAATGTTTCAAGTATAATGACATTACGATGTAATGAAAAAAGGATTAAAGAGGTCGACTGGATGTATTAAACTGAATTGGAAAAAAACGGTTATTTCGCTTACTATCCGCTAGCACTAACTGCTTCCTACGTGTGATACTACACATCAAACTAAACATGCATATTGTTGAAAAAATAATGCATTACAATAATTTAAATTACATATGAGAAATAATTCCACATGCACATAATTTACAGCTTCAAAGGTTTACAGTTCTGACGCACAAAACCCACAAATAACAATAAGATTTAAATTAGAAACCACAGCACAATTCCAAACTACAAAATTTACAAACAGAATAGGTAAACGTACAGACAGTAGAACAAACTAAGTTAAAGAAAGTAAGACAGTAGGAACGAGTAAGACAAGAATCGTAGGCTTGAACTATGAGCCACAAGAGGGTATAAAAAGAACACAGCTACACACGACCTACATGTAAAACAAATTTTTTAATATAAAAAGTAAGCGCTATATAAATATTTAATTTTTTTTAAGTTTTAGAAGTCTATGTAGTCTGCTTTTAAAATACAAACAAACTGATAACAAGTTTATTTTACTATTTTCAATTTTATTTTGTTTAAACGATAAGATTTGTAAACTTTTAGATATGTCCCGACAACGGTTGGTGCTACTAAATCATATTTTTAAAAAGTTTTTTATTTCTATTTGAAATATTATCTTCAAAGTCCATTGTCTTAACTGATGAAATATTGAATGTTTCAGTAACATCTCCTCGCCGTAGTGATCATGTAAAAAGTCCTGTCCTACATGTAGGACGTAGAGCACAAGACATTATAATATCCATATAGTTTTACTATATCCACCCATTGTTAACTATAAATAATTTTTATGCAAATGTGAACCATGAAAAGAAGGCATGGAATCAGTATTAATAATTAAACATAACATAATAACATAATGATAATTTTGCAGCAAATACACGCTCCACGAAGTTATGACGATGCTGGAAGATAGTCCAGATTCTGTGCCATCATCTGGTGTTGATATTTTTTTACAACCTCCTGAAAATGCATGTGGAGACATTACGGACGAAGATTCGGTAGACGAAGACATTCTAACAATCAATAATCTCCCTGCGAGTCTGTTACGTGCTGATGCTGAGAGAAAAGAATTATCTGATGATGAGAGTCAGCCAACTACATCCAGTTGGAAGCCGCCCAAAAAAAAAATGAAGGTGTACACCTGGAATAAAAGTGACCTAGCTGAATCAGCAATTACCTCAAGGGCATGGGTAACTAAAGATATAGTTAAAATTGATAAATCACCAATTGAAATCTCAGATTTTTTGACATGGATTTGTGCAGTCTGTTCGTTAACAACACCAATCATTATGCAGCTCACAGGAACAAGAACCTTGACATGACCGTGGAAGAGCTGAAATGCTTCATAGGAATTCTCCTTTTGAGTGGTTATGTTGATGTACCACGCCGTCGAATGTACTGGCAGCAGTGTGAAGACACGCACAATGCCATAGTCTCCGCAGCCATGACTAGGAATCGTTTTGACGATATCATGTCATGTCTTCACGTTGTCGATAATGACAGCATAAACAAAGACGATAAGTTCGCAAAAGTTCGTCCTCTTTTTGAAGCCCTGAACATTAAATTCCAAACATATGCCTCATGAAGAAAATCACTGTGTTGATGAGGCCATGGTGCCTTACTTTGGTCGGCATGGTTGCAAGCAATTTATAAGAGGGAAACCAATTAGGTATGGATTCAAGTTATGGGTTGGTTCTACACGACTTGGTTATGTGAATTGGATTGAGCCATATCAAGGTGTGGGTACAAGGATTGACCCCAAATACAAAGATCTAGGCCTTGGAGCAGGTGTTATACTTTAATATACTGATGTACTGTCAAGGATGGGTGACTACCCATACCATATCTTTTTCGACAACTTTTTTACGTCGATACCGTTGCTGTCAGAACTTTCACAAAGGAATTTGAAGGCAACAGGAACTATTCGAGTAAACAGAACGTCAAAGTGTCCTATCCAGGACACAAAAACTATGAAGAAATATGATCGAGGATCATACGACTTTTAACTAGCTAAAGATGCTAACATCGTTGTGTGCAAATGGAATGACAACAGTGTTGTGTCCATTGCTTCAAATGCATTAACTGTACAACCGACACACACTGTTAGCAGATGTGAAAAAACTGAAAAAAATATTGCTGTTACGCAACCGCATCTCATCCGCGTCTACAACGAAAATATGGGGGGTATCGACCGCTCTGATCAGAACATAAGCTTGTATCGTATATCTATGAGGAAAGAAATGGTATTTTCCTCTAATATGCCACTGTGTAGATCTCATTGAACAGAATTCTTGGCAGCTCCACAAATCACGTAAAGGTACACTGGATCATCTACAGTTTCGACGTCGCATTACTACCGCTCTTTTAGAGACCAACTCCAGAATTTCAAAGAGTACAGGTCGGCCATCACAAACGGAACATATCAACTCAAGATATGACCGATTGGATCATTTAGTGGAACCTCAAGATAAACAAACAAGATGTCGACACTGCCATCAGAAATGCACAACTCTTTGCAATAAGTGCAATATTGGTTTGCACGTGAAGTGTTTCATTGACTACCACATGAAAAAGAGAAATTAATTGCTTTTATTTTTTGATTTCATTATCTGTTATGAAGTTTCATTAGATTTCAGAGAATATGAACCTTTGAGAATGCTGATGTTTGTGTGTGTATGTGTTCCCAATGTCCTATATGTAGGACAGCTGTTTTCTCAATGACTAGTGACACCATAATTTTTTTTTAATTGTATCTATTTCTGGAACTTAACTTGACCAGAATGTTCATAATATTGTTTAAATTTCTGAAAAAAAAATACTCTGGGAACAACTGGGTTAACTCTTAACACAGTCTCACTCTTTTTAGATATTTTACTAAGATATAACAGTTCTTTGCTGTTCAAATATGAATTTACATAATTTAAGCATGTGTTAACTGTGATGCACGTGGTATCTGCGATGCACGTGACAGCTATGATGCACGTGACAACTGCGATGAACGTGTTGATGAAGAAGATGACAACAATGATACAGATTATATCAATCGGGAAGTAATCGGCAGATTGACGGACGAAAATAACCAACAATTGAATGAACTTATAAAATCAAACGATTTGGAAAAGGAGAAACAGTCCCAAGATAACTTCACCATAAAGTTTAAAGCCGAAGGTCGAGATAGACTGGACGAACGGAAAGATGAAATTGAAGAACCGAAGAACGACTGCGCACAAATTGGTGACTTTCAACTAAATTCGAATCAAAGGCGACTTTCAACTAAATTCGAATCAAAGGCATGCAGAAAATGAGTGGAAGGATTGGGAAAAGTCATGCCAAGTCGCCACCAGGATCGACGACGTGGTGTATCGGGTACGAGAACGAGGCAAGCCTAGGACCAAAATGAAGATCGTACACCTGCCAGCTCTGTTTTCTTTCTAATAAAGTCATGACGAGTAAAGCTAATTATTGACGATTAGTTTTATCCTGTGATTTATCTGTTGATTAGTTATTGTGTTGTATTCTAACGATTTTAACGATTGAACGAACGGGTGATCGATTGCGGCAATACACTTAAAATAAGTAATACACCAAAATAATACACCAAAAAAATGTAAAAAAAACATTGGTAATACACAATCTTAAGATTTAACCTAGATACATTAATAAGTAGTATAAGCATGATTGCAGCAAAAATTAATAAATTTCATTGTGAGAATTTGGACCATCAATCTGGATTGACTATCTGTCTTACAAGCGTCTATGTTACCAAGTTGGTTTTGCAACTGAAACATAAAACCAGACTGCAACTATTTCTTAACTATAAAATATACATAACTGAAAAACAAACAAAGGAACTTACGCCGCTAGCGGTTCTAATAGGCTTAGCTTTCAGTTGTGGCAGAAGAACCTTTTGAAAACATAAAATATGATAAACCAAGAACTAATATATTTAATAATTAATTGAGTTACATGTTTATACTCAGGTGGCACTGCAGCAATAATGTCTAAAAGACGAGGCTGTGTGGAAAGCCCAAACTTGCTTGATATCTGAGCCTTTATTCTGTAAAATAAATATAATATTATTATGGAACATCTTCCACCTAGAACGTATAAGATATAATAATGAAAAATCAGGAAAATTATAATTTTGATGATAAATTTCAGGAAATTAAAACTTGTAAAAACCTTAAAAATATTGAACATTAACAACTAGCAACTGAAAATAAACTTTTAAGCTTACATAAGAAATAAATTACCGAATTTGCTGAGAATATGTCGAAAAGTTGATTAAGTAAATAGTTGGTTTTCAGACTGTAAAACATAAGCTGTTGTCACAGTAGTAACCACTTTCGAAAAGTATGATGAAAAGCTTATAAAAGTGAAAATAATTGAAGGAAAAATACCATGAAGTAAATATAGAAACTACCACCATTCCAATCACCACTGATATTGACGGTACATCACGAACACATCTACAAAAGTATCATGGAAATGCACCCAATCGATTAAATGAACAAACTTGCTTTTCTGAAGTTAAACTAACAGTATAAGACTTTGAAATTTAATATAATTTAATATATATATATATATATACTTATTTATTTATATTTATTTATATATAATATATATATAAATATATATATATAAATATATATATATCAATTGCAGAATTGAATTTTTTTAACTTATAAATTTCATTGTAGCAAATGTATGCGTATGATTTTTTTTCATGAACTTTACTATTTAGAAAAACTTTAATTTTTGTCTATATAATTAATTTCTTTGAGTTATTTTCATGTAATAACTGTAAATAACATGGCTTGTGTTAAAGTGTTAATGCTGATTCAAAAATCTACTTGTCAAAGAATGAAATAAAAAATAGTTGCAAAAGTTAGAAAAAGTTTAATTACTTTTTTATTTTAGTTCACTATTTTCAAAAATAAGTTTACAACAAATGGTTAAATTACTTAATTTTAGTTGAAAAATAGTTATAGTTTAACTACAAATATTTAGTAGGTTGCCCATCACTGCCGATAACAGATCCGGCGTTTAGTAGACCCATTTATTCCCTTTTGCTTTATGGATCAAAATGAATCAAACGCAAAAGGCACGCAAATTACAAAATCTCTAAATTTCATTTCTAAAAAGTGATCTCTGAGTGGCATATAGTTAAGTTCCTTAAACAAGCAGAAATTCCCAAGAATATGCATCATCATCATCATTAAATAATATATAAAATAGGATAGTGACAGTTCTTATTCGCACGGGATCGTCAAATTCAGAGCCTGAGATTTGAAAAAAACCGGATTCCTGATTATCGAATAAAATTGAGTTCAAAAAAATAATTCAATTCAATATCACAAATTGAAAAGAAAAATTTTATAAACTTTTTTGAATCACGTGTAATCCTTTTTTAACACATTTGTAACTACACCCGAAAAAAACATTTTTAGTTAGTTTCTAATTACGTGATTAAACGGCATGGGCTTATTCATAAATCTTTTAGTTGTTGATTGTACTCAGTACTCTAAGTTATGATGGAACTTGGTTTGAATAAAATTTCATTATGAGCACGCATCCACCTTGGATCTGGATTCGGATCCGTACGAATCCATCACTTAGAATCAAATTCCGATATTAAAAATTTCAATTTATTGGATCCGCCTCATTCGTAATTTAAAATCGCCATTAAAATAAAGTTGAAAACCAAACGACTTTCACTTTTAGTAAAAAAAAAGGTTAATAGTCTATTACTCTCATCCCAGGTTTAGAGGAATCAACAACACGCCACAAACATCATATATGAGCACGTAGCTAAACGAACCATCACACACGAAGCATATGATAAGCGAAGACTGTCATATAATCGAATCGAACCTGGTTACTGCACGCACAGCGAAATAGCATGATGCGACCTTAACCACTAAGCTATTTAGCTTCTGAAGAACCTGACAGCACTTGTTTATTGACAGCAGTGATTTAATAAAAAAGTTAAATTTTAATAAATTTCCTGTAATTTAAGCGTATTGAAACATTTTTAAAACATTGAAACAAAATAATCATTTCAGCCAGCAAGACAACTCATTGAATTAACAAATGATAAAAGTGAATTAAAATTTTAAGAAAACTAAAAAGTTTTCGCTAAAGAAACCGTGCTGTTTTAAAAACCATGGTGAATTTTTGCTGGCGTTTTACTACGCTTTTACCAAAGAAAAAAAACAAACTCGATTTTTAACAAATATAAACATTCAAGTAATTTGTATCTGTATTAGCTAATTTAATAAACATGGTCAAATTTATTTTATTAAATACCTTTCAGACGGCATACCTGATTGTCTGCGTTAACTTATCTTTTCAAACATTTTCATTAAAAAAATGTTTATGCCAAAACAAAACTGGTAAATAATGTACTATATAATAACTAAAATATCAATCAATCTTCGTTTAGCGTCTTGAGACCCAGTTTCCCGAGGTAGGACGTTGTTTTCTTTGCTATCAACTTTTTGCGCCAAATTAGACGATCAATCAGACGATTATCCATGTATACAACTGATCGTCTAATAACTTACATAACAGATTAACAGATAGTTTTTTTTATATATAGAGATATTAAATGGGACGGGGTTGTTATGTTCCATTCAAATCAACAATTATTGTTGCAATTTTTGTTCACTGTCTAACATATTTCCGTATTATGCCACTACAATAAAATAGACGGTTATAATTATGTTGGAATTTCATCAAATTTTTCCATATCAGATGCTTTTGTAGATCACATCTCAGATCACATTTTCATCATAAATTTTTTTACAGAAAGTTTTCTTTTGAGATTATAAATGATTAAAAAATTCCTGACTTCTTGATTAAAAAATGTTGGTTCCGACTCCCAGAAAAATTATCCAACTTTTCTTTTATATATCTCCTGGGTATATATATGTCCTGGGTATGACATAAAACTGCATCCACGCTGCCTTGCGTGCTTTTGAGCAAAAGGCTAGGCCCACTTTTTATAACTGGTGGTTGTCGTCAGGATGGGTGTCCGGATGTAAAAACTTTTCCTCAAATTATTCTTATGCCATCACAAAGAAAAACAACGGCCCCTAGTCCCCAGCAGGCCTTAAGTGGTCAAGGGGTGCCAAAAATCCCTGGGAAGTATGCAATAGCGGAGGGATGTTGCAGAAAAATTCAAAATGGCCTCTCAATGGTACTTAGACTTGGAACGCTCAATGTTGGACCACTGACTGGCCGCAGCATGGAAATCGCAGAAATGCTCGAGCGTAGGATTGACATCTGCTGCCTTCAGGAAACCCGATGGAAATCGAATGGTGTCTGTCATATCAACTCAGACAAAGAAAAATATAAACTATTCTGGAATGGTCAAAAGACGACCAAAAATGGGGTTGGAATTTTTGTCAGAGAACCGCTAGCCCAAGAAGTACTGGATATTAGAAGGATTAATTCACGTCTCATGTGGATCAAGCTTCGCATAGAAAAGCAAACAATGATTATTTTTTCTGCATACACACCACAGACAGGCGAATCAGAAGAGATGAAAAATGACTTCTGGACTGCATTCTCTGACACCATCTCAACAATACCAAAATCTGAAACAATCCTGATTGGAGGCGATCTCAATGGTCACGTTGGTTTTGACAACGTACATGGCGGTTTTGGCTATGGAAAACGGAATGAAGATGGCAACCGCATCCTTGAGTTTGCTGAAAGTCACGGGTTTTGTTTACTGAACATGTCACGGGTTTTGTTTACTGAACATTTTAGAAAGAGGTCAGAACATCTCATAACATACAAAAGTGGACCATCAGCCACGCAAATTGATTTCTTCGCTGTGAACGTGGAAGCTGAAAAGCAATATTCATCGAGAAAAATTTCAACAGATCGTCGCAACACAGTTAGACCACCAATCGCAAGCCAGTACAGATTGGAGTACATACAAAACCGTTTTGATGAACGCTGCAACTACAGTTTAAATGTGATGGAAGAAATCACAAAACCGATACGCACTGGTGACATTTGGAATCTAGTATATGCTGATGATATCGTTTTAACAGTCACGTCTGAGCAGAATGCAGCACAGATGTTTGAAGATTGGAACACCAGACTCGCCGATCATGGATTCAAAGTCAACATCAGCAAAACCAAAGCAATGAACACTGGTGAACCCATCCAATCCACAGCTACTGGACGATGGCCCTGTTCAGTTTGTAAAGCTGGTGTAGGTAACAATTCAATCAAGTGTCAGCAGTGTAACCAGTGGTGCCATAAACGTTGTTCAAAAATGGTTGGTACTTTATCTAAAGTGTCCAATTTTGTTTGTCCTGCTTGCATTAATCCACAACAAATTCAAAATAGCACTGTTTTTGAAGCCATTAAAATAGAGAAAGTCACATCGTTTCAATATCTAGGGGATGTTCTGGATTGTACTGGAACAGCTGAAGCTGCCGTTCGAGCACGCATACCTGTAGCCTGGAATAAATGGCATCTCCTTGCCTCTATATTGATGCGGCGTGACATCCCACTACCACTATGATCAAGACTTTATAAATCTGAGATACGTCCGGTGTTGTTATATGGTGCAGAAACATGGCCAATGACAACCAAACTGGAACAACAACTTCAACGAACCGACATGAAAATGCTCCGATGGATGCAACGAATTAGTCTGAAGGACCACATAAAATCTACCGAAATCCTGTGTCGTGCTGGTTTAGATGATATAAAGGACGAACGCCGGCAACAACGTCTACGGTGGTTTTGTCATGTCAAACGAAGTAGAAACAGTGCCATAACTTCTCTTGCAGATGTTGAAGTACCTGGCACACGTCCCAAAGGTCGTCCAAAGTAGTCCTGGTCGCAAACAATCGAGCAAGACATGAAAGCTCTAAATTTAAATGAAATGGATACAACTGATCGTCTAATTTGGTGCAAAATTTGATGGCAAAGAAAACAACATCCTACCTCGGGAAACCGGGTCTCTGGACGCAAAACGAAGATTGATTGATTAAATGGGACGGGGGAGTAAAAAACTGTAGCAGATAAACTATTGAATTAGCTTTAGAAATCGTTCCATTTTGATTTTTCTGTATCCGATTTTTTCTAGTGTTGTCATATTTATTTAGCCAGTGTATAATCAATGTTTAAATCAATTCTAGCCTAGTTTTAGTTTACTTTTTTTAATCCCATTTTTTCCAAAACAATTTCTAACATTACTATATTGTGATCTATGTTGATCTTATATTTCCAGTCAATGTTTTTCCTATTGATGTTGATATAATCAGACTGCAGTGCCTCCCATCTCCATAAAACTTTTTGCTAAAATTTTGTTAGTAACCGAGACCATTATTATTCTTTTTAATTATCTTTTCGTTATCTTTCAATGATCTTTCTCCACAATTTCTAGTAGCCCACTTTTGGCAGCGGCGATGGCTGAATGGTTAAAGTGTTAAGGAATGTGAATGCCATTTAACGATTCCCTACAAACAGGATGAAGCTTTAGAATTGTTGTGTAATTATCAATATTATCAATTAAGTTGTGTAATTATCAATTATCAAAATCAATGCTGTCGTGCAATAGACTAAACAACTAGCGTGGAGCTTACAGCTAAAAAAGTTTATATTAATGATTTATAACAAGCATATAAATTAACCTGTTCAAGTTTACATTTACGTTTTCATGATGAGCTTTTACTAAACAGTTTATGATTTCTGTTACAGTAATCACCATTAAATCCTCCGTTGATTTTTTCAACTGAAAATCTGTTATTTTGCAAAAATAATTATTTTTTGATGTAATATGTGTCTGGCACTGTTAAGACAGTGACCGGATTCAATTGCAGAGATCCTCGCCTTTATCATGCGACATGATAGGCGGAGATCTCTGCAATGTGCATTTACATGCATTACGTGTTTGCTGTTGATACCTCCAAAAAATAATAAAATATTAAAAAGAAATGTAAAATAAATCAATAAATAAGTATTTTCATGGTGTTTTTTACCGTTTTTTTTTGTTTTTACTAAAAATCATACACTAACTCGTCTCAATGGTTATAAAACGTTTAAAAAACTTTAAATACTCTAATTTAAATCTTCGAATCTATAACCAAAATTAGAAAATTTTGCCACTGTAGATTTTTTAAATTGTTAAAAAAGCTTGTATGTAATCAGCAAAACGACAAATATTTTAAATCAATCAATCAATCAATCTTCGTTTAGCGTCTAGAGACCCAGTTTCCCGAGGTAGGACTTTGTTTTCTTTGCCATCAACTTTTTGCGCCAAATTAGACGATCAGTTTTATCCATTTCATTTAAATTTAGAGCTTTCATGTCTTGCTTGATTGTTTGCGACCAGGACATCTTTGGACGGCCTTTGGGACGTGTGCTAGGTACTTCAACATCTAAAAGAGGCACTGTTTCCTCTAGTTTGACTTAACTTTTCCTTATGATCAAACCACCTCCGACGGTGTTGCCGGCATTCGTCCTTTATATCATCTAAACCAGAACGACGCAGGATTCGGTAGATTTGATGTGGTCCTTCAGACTAATTCGTTGAATCCATCGGAGCATTTTCATGTCGGTTCGTTGAAGTTGTTCCAGTTTGGTTGTCATTGGCCATGTTTCTGCATCATATAACAACACCGGACGTATCACAGATTTATAAAGTCTTGATCGTAGTGGTAGTGGGATGGCACGCCGCATCAATATAGAGGCAAGGAGATGCTGACGAGTTTTAGTATTCGTATACATTTTCATCATAAGTCGAAGAAGATATTCTGGAATGAGTTATCGACGTAGACTCCACCTGATTGCTTCACGGGGAACTCGATCAAATGCTTTTTTAAGGTCTACAAAATGTGTGATAGTTGTCGATGCTTTGCGAGGTACTTCTCTTGCAGTTGCCGAAGGATGTGAATTGCATCAATTGTTGATTTCCCTGCTAGAAAACTAAATTGATAATTTCCGATTGTGATGCACGACGTGATTTTTTCGACAATTTTTAGGGAGTATTCTAACAGACGTATACACCGATATGATAAACAGTTCAATGGATCACCTTTGCCTTTGTATAGCGAACTGTCATGCTATAGTTCCATTCAGTCGGCATTGAGCAATTTCTCCACACTTCACGGCAAAGTTGTAGTAACGTTTGGATACCTGCAGTACCAGATGCTTAATCGAGCAAAACATTCAATCAAATGAAAATTGATTAATTGAATGTTTAGCGAAGATTGATTGATTGAATTCGGTAAAATTCATACAATACTGTAACTGTATGGACTCCTTCTAATATATTGTTATAACCGACCCCTTGACTTGTAGGGTCTGGTTGTTTCTTTTTACGTGGATTCTTGATTCCTAAGCGGACTTATTTCAGATGACACTATTAGAAAGGAAACAGTGCTGGCAATCACTTGTGTGTATTGCCGTAATCGGTCACTCGTTCTTTCGATCGTTGAATCGTTAGAATACAGCACAATAACTAATCGACAGGTAAATTACGGAATACAAGTATTCGTCAGTACAACTATTCGTTTCTCTTGTCCGACTAATTACATTGAGTCTCTAGTCCTGGTATTCTTTATTGCAGTGAGCTTCCAGCTATCGGAATCCTACCTCTGTCACCGGTGTGTAATCTCCTGAAGATCCCACTTCTAACACTAGTGTCGTAATCTTTTCGACCTCGTAACTACCAACACCGATGTTATAGCTATCAGGACTTATAGGTCTGAGTCCCTATTAATTCCTAATGGATTATTTGACCCTGTTTGATGAAGAAAAAGAAGGTGGATCACCACTAAAGCAATTATTACGAAAGGTAATATAAAATGGAATGAAAAGAATCGATTTAAGGTGGCATTATCTACTGCAAACCCCCCTCAAATTCACTCAACTAATATTTTTCCAATATATGGGATTGTTGATAGAAGATTTTTAATTACTGTTGCCCCTCAAAATCTTATCTGGCCCCATGGTAGCACATATCCTATAAATGCTGTTGCTATAGATAAAATGTAAAGGGTTACACCGATATTTCACGATATTTCATGTCTCCATTATAATAAAGAATGAGTAATAAACTCCTCGTCCAATGTGTAAGTATAAGAATAAAAAAAATATTGATGCCCCATTTGCATGTAGGTAGCGTAATAATCATCCATATTCCGTCTCGCGTAATGTGTATTACTGATGAGAATGCAAATTCTACGTTTAGGATGTAGTGTATAGACAGGAATAGCCCTGTAACAGTCTGAATAGTTAGGGTTAAGCCTAATAGTGAACCATAGTTTCATCAGATTGAAATATTGTTTGGGGCAGGGAGGTCAATTAATGCATTGTTCATGATTTTGATTACTGGATGATGATTTCGGAATGGTTTAAACATATATGGTGTCAGAAACGGTGATTAGTGTTAGAATGAATGTTATTACATATAATTTAATCTTGAGGTGTTCATTTGGTGATAAAGCCACAAAATATGCAAATATAATTAGTATGCCACCAATGTAAATTAAATAGATTAGAAATGAGTATCAAGATCTTAAAAATAGTGCATATGTTCATGCTGTGAGTAGTGCTAATATTAAGATATTAAATATTATAATAATTGGCGATTTAAGAGTTATTAAAGTAAGGAGTGATGTTAAAAGTATATTTAGTATAATTAAGGACATTTATTAATATAAGAATTAAACTTATTATTTAAACTTCAAAGGTTTATGTGTACCGTACACTAATAAATAATGAGCCTCATCAATATATGCAAATGTATAAAGAGATTCATACAACATCGACAAAGTGTCAGTATCAGGCAGCTGCCTCAAATCCGAATTGATGTGTGTTTGAGAATTAATTTTTGATTACACGAATTAGGCAAATAGCTAAGAAGGTGGACCCAATGATTACATGTGCTCCGTGAAATCCTGTTGTTACGAAAAATGTGGTTCCATAAATACTGTCAGCAATAGTAAATCTTGACGAATAATGCTCATTTGATTGTAATAGAGTAAAGTATAGGCCTAAGGTAATTGTTAATGTTAGGGCTTGGATTGTTGATGTTCGGTTACCTTCCATAAGTCTATGGTGGGCTCAGGTAACTGTGATACCTGACGATAACAACAACAACAACAACACACGTTTAGACGGCATTTTCCCCGAGATCGGGGGTTGCCGTTTGGCTACCTATGATGAAACCGAAATACCCCTCGACTCCATCCACATCTGTCACTCGCCTCAGTATCACGCAACCCCGCTTTCACCCTGTCCTTCTCCACCTGCTCTCTCCATCCCAACCGCGGACGACCCCTTCCTACCACTCCTTCAACCTCGAACTCCAACGCTCGCCTAATCCCGACCCTTTCATCCCTTCTCAACACATGTCCATACCACCGCAATCTCGATCTCCTTATCAATGTCACAATGTCCTCATTCAGTCCCATCATTGACATCAGCTCTGTACTACTCCTCCTATCCTTCACTTTAACCCCACACATCATCCTCACCATAGCTCTTTCAGCCCTCTGCAGTACACTTTCCTCCTCTCTCCTCAACACCCAAGTTTCACCACCATATATCATCGCTGCTCTCACACATGCTTTATATACCCTCCCTTTCATCTTCACTGACCATTTCTTTCCACACAATACCCCACCCAGTTCCCTAAATTTCATCCATCCCACACGAACTCTAGCCGAACG